ATATATTAATCAAACTCGTAATGATGAACTTAATATAGCAAATTAGTATAAAGTATTATAATAAATTCAAAATGAAGGATAACGTTAAAGGAAAAGTAAATTTGTATAGATTTAAATTAATTTCTTTATTTATATTACTGAAACTTACAAAAAAGTTAATTTACAATTTGAACAAAAAGTTATTCTATTTATATAAAATAAATTTACTATAGTTAACTACTTGTTATGCTATAAATTAACTAAATATATATATATATTTTAATAAAAATATACATAAATGATAAAAATAATATAAATTATAAAAATAATAAAATAAATAAAATAAATTATAGATATTAAGAATATTATAGGCAAAACAGAATGAATAGAATAAATAGACTATATAAAAAATATAATAGAAATAGTAAAAGTAGGTAAAACAGAAATTATTGTTAATCACTATTTGGCATAATAATAACATCATCTAACTTGAGATCATCATTAATTAGCAAATTTCATATAATATTTGAAGATACAATTTTTTTCATTAATAATATATATATAATAATTAAAAATAAGTACTTTTAAAAAAATTATATAAATTTATTAAAAGTAACATTTGTAAATAAAATAAATAAAAAAATTAAATCATTAAAAATTTTATCTTTTTTATCATTATTAAAGTCATTATTAGTTCAAAATAAAGTGAAAAACTATATAATACTATACAAGATGATACAAGATATCCTAATATATATTTATTTAATAATTGAGTCATGTTGATTAGTTTTGTAAATCTAGATAAAGATAATTCTAAACTTAATAATAGTTTTCAATTTTCTAATTATTACTAATAATATTATAATTATTATTATTATCAACATTAGTAATTTTTAATTCATTATTTTTATTTTTCTTATTATAATCTTTAAATTCATTTAGTTCATTTGAATATTATATTTTAAAAAGATTTAATAATAATTTTATTTCAAATTTCTTCTTATAAATATTTTATCTAATTATATATATTATTATATTTAATATATCAAAGTTTTTAGTATTAATTATTACTATTATTTATTAAAAAATATTAATTTTACAAAAATTATCTTTAAATAATTTATTAATTAAAGGAGTGATATATATCATATCATTATAGATTACTATATTACTTCTCCTCCCTTCCCTTCTTGTAAGACTTATCACGTGATTATATAAATAGTCAATTATCATTAAATATATTTATATTATTTAAATATTATATTAGAAATGAAAAATCTTTATTAACATTTATTAAAGATTTTTTAATAAAGTTATCTTTTATTATTTTTTAATAAAATGTAATAAAAATTAGTAATATAAAGAATACGAAACTATTTGCATGTAATTCATAATAGTTATATTCTATCACGTCTACATAATTGCATCTATATAACTGATTTACAATTACATCTATATAATTGCATTATAATTGCACCTTGATTTTTTTATCCAAAACTTTTTCGCTATGCAAACTTTTTTAATTACTTCAAAATATAATAAGTTTTATATTTATAAGACACCTACAAATCAATATCAAAGGTATTGCAATGCTTTTAGATATTATTATATAATGAATAAAAAAAACTCTATGTACTTAAAAGTTAGTTTATATACAGAATGTACTGATACATAAAAAGAAAAAATAAGGTTATCCTCATAAGTAATGAAAAAAAGCACAATCAAAAAAGGTTTAATAATTGGTAGTTTAAAATGGATTAAGCTAGAGGGTTTAAAGAATCAGGTATTGAATAAAGGTTTAATTATATATTTGAATATTATATATGCCATAATAAAATGATATTTGTAAATTGTGTAGTCAAAAAAAATATTTCTATTGAGGCATTAATTGATATATATACTAATATAAATTGCATTAACTAAAAATATATTGGTGAATTAGGAATTACATATCACAATAAAAGCAATAGCATTGCAATTCTAGATGCATCCTATTATATATTAGAAAAGGTCAATTTATATATTAGTTTTGAAGATGGCGAGAAGTATAAAAGCATACCTGTTGATTCATAGTTCTTAAATCAGATTGGCTTGATTATTATCCTGATTTAGTATTAGGAATGCTATAGTTTCAAGAAAATGATGCAACTTTGAATATATGCAATTCAAAACTATTATTAAACGATAATTTTGTAATCCCATTCAAAGAGAATAATAATCTAAAGTAGTAATTGTGTAATTTTTCTAAAGGTGTTTTACTATTTTTTCGTTTAAAGATATAATGTATAATATAGATTATTTATGACGCAATCAAGCATCTTTTATTTATCAGAACTATTAGAACATATTTTACAATTTTTTAGTGATAGATAAATCTCTTTATCATACTTTATTTGTTTTCTGATTATGATACAGATGCAGTGCTTCTATTTTATAGAAATGCATTGACTTAAAGAGAAATAGCTATTATCATGTAAAGAATCCCTTCAATTGAAAAAATTTATAAAATTAGTATATGAAAAGAAACAACCAGTTTATAGCTTGAATTTAACTTATCTTGAAATTTCATATTATCATCTACTTTCTGATAAAAAAATTAATAATATTGTATACTTATTCCTAAATATAATTTATTTGAATTTCAGAAAAGGCACAGGATATAGTGATAAAGTGCTAAATCAAATAGCAGAATAATATTTAAATCTGAAGCATCTCAATTTGGAAAGGATAAGTATATAAGCAGTTATACTAGAATAATAACTGATAAAGGTCTGTTTACTTTAGCAAATGCATGCTGTAAATTAGAATATCTAAATATTTCTCACTGCATAGAGATTACTAAAATATCAATTTCTAGTATTATTCGTTCTTGCTTAAGGTTTCAAAAACTTGTTCTTAGCTTTTATAAAATTACTGATGTAATTATCAAAGAAATTGATTATTCATAACTTAATTTAAAGTATCTTGATCTGGAGATGTGTTATAAAATTAGCAAAGAAGCTGTAAATCAGCTAAATCCAAATATCTATGTTGAGAATTTCAACAATATGACCAACCTTGATCTTATTTTCACATTCAGTAATTATCTTAGATAGGCTAGTATTACTTATCAGAATTTAACATAATTCTTTTTAGCTAATACTTCAAATTTGAACGAAACTAAAATGAAGTAATAATTTAGAATTTTTCATTAGAATTTGGCACATACTTTAAATCAGATATACTGATAACCTAACAGACAGTTACTAAGAAATTATTTTGATAGAATACTAGCTGATCAAGCAGAATGGTGATAGTGATCGTTAGCTCAGAAGAATTTGCTAAACCATAAATTATGTAACAAAAAAATGTGGATCATTAATCAGATTTTATTCAACATATTATTTTTTGTATATAACAAAAAGAAAATATAGATACTAACTAGTATCTTTATTTTTTTCCATACAAATATGAGAAAAATGTGAAAAAAAGTCTACACATGCAACACAGGACTTATCCTAAAAGCAAATAGTGCTGACAAAAACATATATTATAAAAATCTAAAGACTTTAAAATTTGAGATCGTCAAGCATGAAACTAACTATATGTCTTTCCAATAGATCTTCATGTGAAAAGGTATAAAGATTCTATTTACATATGCTTTTATAAAGCTCTTAATATCAGATGATAATACTAATTGCGCTTTGTATCTCCTTAATTTTTTTCTTTTCAATAGCAAGATATAAAGCATGTAGGAGTATATAGAAGTTCAGTCAACTTTTTGCAAAATTATCCTGTAAAAATAACGTAAAAATAGATATATATATGCTAGAAATTATGAATATATAGGAGCAAGTTTTTTCTCACTATGGGTTCTTGTATTTAGGAAAATAAAATGATAAATATTGGTTATACTGAACTTACTATTAAAGATGTTAATAATAAATTTGTAGTTAATACATTTCAGATTCGTAGTGTCAATGGACTCAAAAATTATATTGTAAGTAGTACTGCTCAATTTTATCTCTATAAAAATAGCATACATCTAAAAATCTTATGAATATAAAGAAGGCAATTCTTAATTATTTAATCCTGAAAAAGATGATAATCTAATAGTCATTGTACATTTCACCACTCCAAATAGTTAGAAATTTTTTATTCACATCATGCTTTCTTGATCTTTGATTTGCGGAATAATAACTTTAAACATTCTTAAATGAAATAGCTTTATATTATTTTTCTGATTCATTTCAAAAAATTATAATTTTGAGAAAGGGTGATATATTCGCAATTTTTATGTATTTGTTACTTCAGTAATGTTTTTTTTTATTTTTTAAATAAAGCATATATTATGTTCTTATCATAAATCTTGAAAAATAGCACGTGTAATGATGTAATATAATCTTCTGATAATCCTGTACTACATCTTAATTGCATATATATTGGGCAAATGCATTATGAATCAATACAAAAATCTATCATTTCTCTAAGCATCAGAAACCACAAAATCCATAAACCAGCTTTCTGTAACTGCAGTCAAGTGTATATTTTTTTCGCAAGCACAAACATACATATATAAAAATCATGTCTTCACAAGCTTTTAATTATATTAGATTAGGTTTATTCTTTTTTGATTAATTTTTTTTTATCTTTAAACAAATTTGAGCATATGGTAGTGTAAAATCATGCTAAAAAGATAAGATTATCTTAAGTTTACAATATTTTTTAATAAATCAATTGAATAGAAATGAAATTATTTAAATTTAATTTTTATTATTCTTTGCAAATTAAGTAAATTTCATACATACAATATAATTATAATTAACACTAATGTTAATACTAATAACATAATTGACATAATTATAATAATGTATTTGTCTGATACTTTCCCATGAACATTAAATTCAAAATAATTATAATTTTCAATAACACCATCCTCATACTCATACTCATCCTCATCATCATCATCTAAATTGTTGATTTCATTATAGAGGTTCAAAGAATCCGTCAAAATTATTTTATATTTAGAACTTTGTGCCTCTTCAATTGCTCTCCGGGTGTAACTATTATAGAAGGGGACAACGAAAAAACCAACCGTTTTTGCCGGATATTTGCTCATTACTCCCTCAAGCTTGTAAATGAGGTCCACACCCACTTTCGTGCTTTCGGAATAATTCTTACATTGTATCAGGAGGAGGTACCCTTTAAAGTTGCCCATAAGATCAACTCCTCCGTCGCCGCAAACGATCTAATAATTGTAAAAATTGTAAGTATACGTCATAATTATTAAGATAAGTGTCCCGGACTTAAACACGGTTACATCTATACACATATCCTATTCACCACAATCCTGGGCTTAACACAGTAACTTTTCAGATAACTAAAAAAGAAGGACGTTCACAGTAGGCTGTCCACCGTACGCCAAGTCTGGTTACTTGACTGGTAACTTTCGCAAACTGTGGCCACGACGCGCTTCCAGTTCTTTAATCTAATTATCCTAGTGGCAGCGTAACTTCAGATATGTATAACTCGGCATTACTTAGTGAGATGCTCACCTAATTTTATAGCACTCAACATTGTAGCTTAGTTTTTTTTGTATTTCGTCTTCGTATTCGTTTCCTTTGGCAACTGAATTCATGTTATTTATGAGAATTTAAAATTTATAAAAAACGTAAAAACGTAAGACCAAAGAAAGAGTTATGAACTTTATACTTATCACTCATTTTAAAGCTCATTTAAAGTCCGAAAGACTTGAACCGTATTGACGCGACTAGTTTTGCGTCAAACTACTTCATGGCGTTTTCATGTCGCACAGGCGCATCATTACACGTGACATTTATAGGGATGGGGAAAGTTCCAAATGGAGCGACTCAGAGTCGGTTCTAGAACCGAACGTCGGTTCCGCTCTTGAGTCGAACCGAGGAGTTAAAGCGGAACAATCGGTTCTAAGAGAACTGACTCTCTTGAGTCGGTTCTATTTAAATTTATAATATTAGTATTTAGTTATTTAAGATAAAAATAAATAAGATAAAAATAAAAAAATAAATTTACGACTTGTAATTTTTGTGGCACAGTAATTTTGATCAATAACGGCAATTTTTGTAACGGCAATTTTTGTAACAGTAATTTTGTAGCACCAATTTTTGTAACAATAATATTTGTATCGGCTATTTTTAAAATAGTAATTTTGTAGTGGCAATTGCTAAAATAATAATTTTGTAACGTCAATTTTTTTTAAAAAATGATAATTATTGAAAAAAAATCTAAATAATTCTCACTTCTTTTTGTTGAAATGGAAGAACAAAAAGAAGAAGCCTCTTCTGAAAGGACATTAAGTAGTGATGGATTCAATCCTAACCAACTTGAGGATAATGAAGATGAGTGGGTAATTAACCTTGACGAAATTAATCCTGATGAATCAGCTAGTAATATTTCAGAGACTAGTCAGGCTTTCATAGGAAGAAGTTCGTCTGATTGGCTAATTTTGTGTAGATCATTTTAAGATTTTGTAAAATTTGATTGGCTGATTTTAAGTCACATGATTATCACGTGATAAGATTTGAGATTATATTGAGTATATTGAGTATATTGAGGTTATATTGAGGTTATATTGAGATCATATTGAGATTATATTAAAGTCAAATTTAATATGGTTTTACCTAGCCAACTGAGTTTATTTTATTGATTTAAATAAAAAAAAATGGATTTTGTGTTCAAAAAAATTTTTTTATTTTAATAAATCTTTTTTTTACATATGAAAAAAAAAATAACACGATTCTTCTAATTGTAAATGATCATTATAACTATAGTAGAAGAAATCGTGATATGGTATCATTCCAAGGAGCTAAAATGCTATTGGCTGATTCCTTAGTATCATTATAATTATATTCAGAAATAGAATTAGACTCTTCACTTTCAATATTATTATTTGATTTAAGTCAGCATAGACTATCCAATAGTAATTAAACATGTTTGTTAATACCATCCTTGATGTAATTTAAACAATGCAAGCATTTGAATCTATTCCGGCTGAAGCATATATTATGATACGTATGGTCACAAGGTAATACCTATCCTATTTCTATAGTAATTATAATATTAGTAATAGAACAACTAGAAGAATCGCAACTAGACAAACTAGATTTATATGAAGAACTATATCTTATAGGTAGATAATAAAGCTATGCTTCCTTTATCTTCATTGCTAAAATAGGAAAGCTGTTTTCAGCATTGGCTTTCTTATTCTTTTTCAGTAGACGATTTATAGCAACTTATGATTGAATTAAAAATTGAATTTTCTTATGATAAATATGAGTATAAATATCTGAAAAACAGTCTAAAAGAAAGCATGCAGTTTTTTGTGTCAAAGTTATAATATTCTGAGAAGAATACTGATATACTGCCCAAGTTGAAGTATGAACAAAATTTTCCTTAAAGCCATAATCATTAAATCGTAAATAGTTGATATATTGTGCTTCTTTTATTATTTGGTCTGCTATAAGATGCTTTTCTGTATTGTATTGTAAAATACTGTGAAAGATTTCCATAGGCGTATCAGAGAATTTTGATAATTCAGCATTCATTGTCTTTAAAATTGAATGATTTTTTGATTGCCAGTAAAAAATATCTGAAAGAAACATCAAAGGCGCTTTAGTATAATTTTTACAGTTAAATTTAAAAAAAATAGATCAAACGTGAAAACAAGATTTAATATAAGAGTTATAATCACCAGCACAAAAAAACAGAGTATAAATATCAAGAACCAGAGGAATTGTGTTATCTAGCAGATCCTTAAGTGTTACATATTCTGCATCTTTACACACATGATCAAATTTTAATTCAACTATCATTGCAATTTATTGTTATGCATTGCGTAAGAATTCTAGTAGCAAATTTATATGTTACAGCTTCGACTTTTGAGTGAGTATTTTTTTTCACCAAATATATATTTATATATTACTGAGAAAAACGGTTGATACTGAAGAAATATTAATTCACGACTATTCAGTAAGATATGCAGAGGACCTATTATTGAAAGAAATGATAAAATATTATCAGTGATTCCAGATGAGTTACCATAAACAAGATACTGTGATATAGCAGTTCTTAAGAATATTTGACCAGGCCAATCAGCGACAACTGGAATGACATTGCCTTTTTTAATATATCTATTTATTATTGGAATGGAAGAAATAACGTTAATAGCATTAATATAAGCTTCTATCAAATGAAGATTATTTTTCACAAGATCTATAAGTACAATATCTTTTATTGATCTAGTGCTTCGTTTTTCTTTTAAACAAACATCATAGCTATGAACTGTTAACTTTTCGAGCTTTATTTTATCATTCATAAAACGAAATTCCCAGCGTTGGTTATGAGAAATTGAATATGTTGATATAAAATAATTTTCAATTCCAATTTTGATTAACGAAGCATCAACTAATGTAAGGTTATGAATATCTTGTTTTGATATTGCTGGTTCATTTTTAATTAGATTAAATAGAATAGTAGCAAGATATACTGCAGTTGATGTTGTGGTTGTGTTAGGCATTCTTTTAGTGTGAATACTATGATAATCGTTAATATTTAAAATGATTGCATCATTTGTACTATCTGCAAAACTTGATTTTACAGTTGTTAGATATTTTTCAGACACGATATCTTTGTGGTAGGAAATTGAACAAGATATTATTGTTAGGCCTAACGTTGCCATGGTGTCTATTGTTAAATTTGGTATTCCAGTAGAATCTAAATACATTCCTAGATCTCTTTTTGCATTGTTAATAAACTTGTTTCTAATATCACAAATAAAATAACATAAAAATACCAGTTGCTTTGATACCTTTTCCATTGTATTTTTGTTTTTTCTTGATGGATTGGTTGATAAATATAATTCATCAAAGAAAGTTTTTAACCGTTTATCTTTTAATTCTATAACTGTACGAAATTCTTTAAATATCCAAATTAGTGGTAATTCTTTACGTTCTCTTTCATAAAGAATATCTGTAAGTATACCTATAGTTTGTGAAAAAGATAAAATATTATTAGAAGTTTCTGGTTCACTATGACAATGCCGATTTAACGCATGTTGCTGAAATTCAGAAGACATATTTATAATAATTGCATTATAACAATCTAAACATATAATATCATTTTCTTTAATATAATTAGGAAGAGTTTTGTTATTCATTCCCTTAGATAGAACTAGACTAGTAACAGTTTTCCATGTTAAAGATTTTCTTTTGCAAATTTCTATGACACACAGTCCTTTGAGTTTCTTTTCTTTACCCATTTATGAAACGTTATTATTAAGCTAATATCCTTAAATATAAGATTATAAGAGATTTATTTTAAAGGTAGTATTTTAATATCTCAATGAAGCAATATATAAATTTAATTTTATTCTTTTATTATATAAAACCTTATTTTCCAAAAAGTACTATATAATATATAAATTTAATTGATCTACATTAGCCAATCAGACAAACTTCATCTTATGAGTTAGGCTTCAGATTCAGAGACAAATATTTCATTAGGAAGTAGTAGTGTATGATTATATTTTAAAAAGAATTCAGCTGATGCATTTGATTATAATGTTTGTAAAATATGTTCAAAAAATATTAAATATTAATAAGTGTATCTTCTTTACGAAAATATCTTTAAACACATTAACTTTAAGCACCTATAAAAATACAAAAAATTAAAAATAATATTACAACTTCTTATAATAGGCAAGAACAAAATGAACATAACAAATATCTTATTCAATAGCTTATATACAATCTTTAGCCTTTCAATGTTGTTGTCAATACTTCTTTTAGAAGTTTTATTAAATTTTTTTGTCTATGTTATATTATTCCTGATCAACATAAAGCAAAATATAAGAATAATTTCATAATTTTTTATTATATTATAATATCATCTAACTTTCTTTTATTTAAATAAGTTTGATAATTAATACTTTTACTATACAAAGGAATAATATTACCAACAAACTTCATTAAATTGCAGGAAAATTCTCATTAACAACTGATATTTGGACTTCTACAATAAATCGGAAAGCTTTTTTAGGACTTACAATTCACTATATTGATTCTAATTGGAACCTTTATAATTTTTTACTTGATATAATTTCATTTACCATTAGAGTGAATATTGCATAAGAAATTATACGCATCTTAGAAGAATCTAATATTTTAGAAAAATTATCGCACTTACAACTGATAATGATTCTGCAATAATAGTTTGTGAAAAAGAAATTTCTTTAGCTTTTGATAATGAATTTTCTTCAATAAATTTCTCACATTATCATTGTGCAGCGCATGTATTAAATTTAGAAGTGAAAAAAGGATTAAAAATAGTCAGTAATTCTATTATAAAAGTATGTTAAATAATACGTAATATTAAAATTCTACATGTCTTTGTGATTCACTTCGTAATTTTTGTAGTTTAAAAAAATTAAATATCTTAAACCAATTTTGAATGTGAATACGTGTTGGAACTTGACATATTATATGTTAAAAAGATTTAAAAAACTTGAACCAGTTTTAATTTTACTTGTAGCTGATAATCCTTCTATTAATAATTTTTATCCTAATAATGATGATTGGAATTTAATTAAGATAAATTAAACTAAAAAAAATAATATTCTTTTATATTTATAGATTTTTATTTTAATGAATTATTTTTTAATAAGATATGTTATTACTTCTTGAATTTTTAGAAAGGGCTACTAGATATTTATCAGCATCATCTTATTTAATAATGGGTGATACTCATCTTGTATTTACAGGAATTCAGACATATCTAGAAAAATATGCAAATAAAAATAATTTTACAGCATGTGAAGTAGCAGCTTTAATTTATAATAAAATTAAAAAATATTAGTTAATTATGGATAATTCTTCAATCTCAGTAATTTTAGATACCTGAAGTAAACTTTCTGTTTTTTCAGAAGAATTAAAACCAAGTGTTTATGCTCAAATTCAATCTATATTTGAACTCTATAAAGAACAATCTTACTCATCTACAAATTTAGTTCCATCTACTCCTATTAAAAAGAATCGCCAATATTTTATATGACTTCGACAAAATATAGCACTTATAAATAAAATTTCTACTCTAGTATTAAAGATAGAAACAGAATTAAATCATTATCTTAAACTACCAATTGATGAAAAAACTGAACCTTTCTTATAGTGGCAAGTTCATTCAAATGAATTTCCAGTTTTGAGTAATATAGCTCAAGATTATCTAATAATATAAGCTAGAAGTGTCGCGTCAGAGCAAGCATTTTTAATTGCAGGAAATATAATTACAAAAAATCAAAATCGTTTACTACTAGAAACATTAAAAGCTTGTTTGTGTGTAAAGAGTTGGATGGATAAAAATTTAGTAAATTAGTAAAGCAGTTGTAATGAAATATAATAATAATGAATAAATAAAAA